CAATGGGGTGGAAGCCGGTGGCCCTGGCGGTGAAAATTTCCCCAGGTGGAACAAAGGAGATAGACGTTTATTGCACCCACCGCAGGGGGCGGGGCGGCTGGACAGCGGAGGAGAAACCGTCCGCAGCAAGGCAGTGGGTGGGGAAGGTGAGAAAGTACGGAGATGTATGGGCATTTTGCTGTTTTTGGTAACTACCGGCTTGTAAGTAGCCCGTTGGTCGGCTATTTTAAGGTGGGTCGCCTGATGGGCAGGTGTGTGTTCAGCCAGGGGTCACTGTGGGCCCTTTCCACATTCCATCGCTCCAGCCTCTTTGCCTAAAAGAGGCCTCTTCGCAGTACTGTTTTTTGTACCGTAAAAGGATTTCACAAGTCTCGTGAATAATTTGGGAAGCATAGATTTTTCTTTCCTCCTGTTTTGTAAAGTAGTTTTTCCATTGTAAGTTTTGGGCTCAAAATCTATAGGGGTAGATATTTGACTTCTGATTCTTTTTTTTTTTTTTTAATGGTTGTTGATGGATTTGTTTTACAGTTCTTACTGAGTCAATTTGGACACTTAAGGTTTTCTAGAAAATTGTTCATCTTCTGTGAATTTATAAGTCTGGTGGCATAAAGTTGTTCATCCTCATCTTCTATAGTGATTTTTTGGAGATTTTAAAAATCACGGCTTTTTAGTGATATTTTAAAATCATTGCTGTAATTGTAGCCATTTTTTCTTTTTTGAGCTTAAGTCCAAGACAAGGTCATTGATCTCCTTGCTGAAGGTGTGGTGCCCTCCAGCACAGTTACTGGCTGTGATGAGCTTCCCTGTGATGAGCTGCTCAGGTGGTAGGTGCCAGTGTGAACTTCATCAGTGACTGTGGATTCCAGGTCTGCAAACACTGCCCTGGGCACCAGTACCTGTCTCACTGCAGGTGTTGAAGGAGTCATCTCCTTCCCCAGTGGTCTTGTCAGTTGGCATCTGACCATTGGGCTGGATGCCCTGTTCCAGGCAGTAGAGCTCCCAAGCAGGCATTGCCAATCTGAACACCAGCTGGATGGAAATGAATTTCCACATGGTTGCTGCTTTGTGGCTGCTGAGCAGATGGCAGAGAAGGAGAGGTTGTTGCTTCTTGCAGCGCCACTCTTAGGCCGTCGATGGAAGAACTTGCCTCCCCTCGGAATTTTAAAAGTGGGCAAAGCCAAATAGAAATGAAGCAGTGTTACCATTGAGAAGTCCTATTCTACACCTGTTACTGTTCTTTTGTATGTAACCTATTTATCATCTCTTGGAACCTTTAGATTTGTCAGTTTATTTTTGGTGTTCAAAACTTTCATGTTGATAAGTTTAGTCCCAGTCTTTTAAGAAATTGCCCGTTTTGGGGCGCTTAGGTGGCTCAGTCGGTTAAGTGTCTGCCTTGGGCTCAGGTCATGATCTCAGGGTCCTGGGATGGAGCCCCACATTGGGCTGCCTGCTTCTCCCTCTCACAATGCCCCTTCCCCCCTTCCGCTCCTGCTCTCTCTCTCTCTCACTCAAATAAAATATTAAAAACAAACAAAAAAAAGAAATTGCCATTTTGATCAGTCAGTCCTTACATATTTCACTATTTTAAGGAATTTCTCCTGTATTTGATTCTCTCTTCTGTTTTTTCTTTCTGGAACTCTGAATAATCTGGTGTTGAACCTTTGAAATTGATCATGTAATTTTCTTACCTTTTTCTTTGCTTACCTCTTTTGGGAGTTCTGCTTTCTGGAAGAGTTCCTCAGCTTTATCTTTAAATCTTTTTACCTTTTTTTGTTTTTGTTATTACACTTTTAAATTTCCTAAGACCACTTATTTTGTGATTTTGTATGTTAAAAAAAAAGCCATACATCCTTTTAATGTTTTATGAATGAAATATCTAATGATTTTTAGATTTATATTATGAAAATTTCAAAATACAAAAAAGTATAACAGACACCCTTGTATCCATCACTGTTTTGAAGCAGATCTTTTACATGATATATTGTAAATATTTCAAAATCTCTCTCCAATAATAGCTCCTTTAAAAATCAAAAAATATATTATCACATCTACAGAATTAGCAGTACTTCTCATATCAAATGTATAGGCAGTGTTCAAAGTTTTCTGTTATTTTGTAAGTGTGTGTGTGATTTTTTTTGTTTTTTGACTCATGGTCTAAATAAGTCTCATGCAGTTTTAGGTCTCTTTTAATTTAAGGTGTGCCTTAGAGAAATTATATCCCATTCTTGTTTCAACTTGCATTTATCTTATGAGCATCTTTGAGGATGCTGCTGTCACTTTGAAATATGCCAGTGTTTTTCTCACTTTTTAGGACACTATTGACTTCTAGGTTGAAACTTTAACACTTTGAAGATATTATTCTGTGGTCTTCTGGCTTCATCTTTGCAGCTAAAAAGTCTGTAGTCAGTATAATTGGTATTTCTTTATAGGTAATTTGCCTTTTCTCTCCAGTAACTTCAAAATTTTACTCATCATTCCTGATGCCCTACAGCTTATTTCCAGTGTATCCAGTGGATTTCAGAAATTTCCTCAGTGTGGCATGTGGTACATACATACACTTGGAGGTGAAGGACTCATATCTTTCTTTCAGCTTAGGATAAGAACAACCATTATTACTAATATTGCTTCCTTTATATTCCCTCTGTCCTCCTCTTCTAGAATTCCTATTACATACCAATTTATGTCCTTAATCCAGATGGGAATGTGTGAAGTAGAATTTGCTTTCCAAACAGATAGCTGTCCTGACACCATTTAATAACTACTCCATCCTTTCCCCGCAGTGATTCATAGTGCTGCCTTTATCGTATATTAAATGTCTACCTACACACCAATCTGTTTCTGAAGTTGTTTTACTTTTTATTATTGCCCCATTATCATCTGTTTACTAGAGATCTATTTTTTTTTAAGATTTTTATTTATTTATTTGACAGAGAGAGAGCAAGCACAAGCAGGGGGAATGGCAGGGAGAGGGAGAAGCAGGCTCTCCACTGAGCAGGGAGCCTGATGTGGGGCTTGATCCCAGGACCCTGGGATCACAACATGAGCCAAAGGCAGATGCTTAACCAACTGAGCCACCCAGGAGCCCAAGTTACTAGAGATTTATAATGCTTTTTTTTTTAAAGATTTTATTTATTTATTTGACAGAGAGAGACAGTGAGAGAGAACACAAGCAGGGTAAGTGGGAGAGAGAGAAGAAGGCTTCCTGCAGGGAACCCAATGCGGGGCTCGATTCCAGGACCCTGGGATCATGACCTGAGCCAAAGGCAGACACTTAACGACTGAGCCACCCAGGCACCCCAGTGCATTTTTAAATATAGTAGGGTAAAGCACTATTTTAATAATTGCCTTGTTATTTATGTACCTTCATTTTGCTATAAAACCTTAAAATCAAATTGTCATTTCAAAAAATCCTTATTGAATATATAGATTAATGAAAATCCAATGCAATTCTAGTTAGAGAAAAATTGAAATCTTTATAATATTGAATCTTTCCATCCATGATCATGATGAATCCCTCCATTTATTCAGATACTTTTTCCTGTTTGTCCCTAAAGTGTTCAGTTTTTCTAATTAATTCTGTAACTAGAAAAGAAATAAAGCATGGGGAATTAAGGAACAAGTCCAGAGTACAATTCTTAGCTTAAAAAGCTTTAACCAGAAGACAAAGTAAGTTCCTTTTTGAATAGAAAGCATAACTTTCTAATTTTTTTTCCTTCTGAAAGAAGGGTATGGATGGGGGGAGGTTCCTTCACAAAACCTTAATTGCCATGGACTCATTCAGCTTATTCGATTAATATTTGTTGAGTGTCTGCCATGTGCTAGGAATATTCTAGGTACTTGGAATACAGCAATGAACAAATCAGATGGAAATCTATTTCTGTACAGTTTACACCAAAGTTACAGACTTATATACACTTCTGGTTTAAGGACATAGAATCTACCTGTCAAAGATATTTGTCTAAATAAAATTGCCAATTCTGTGATTTTGTCCATTAAAAGTGAACTCTACTGTAGCATTGAGATAGAGGGCTCACATTTGAAGGTTATCATCTATCTGCAAAAAGTAACACCTGTAAAAAACTAGCATAACAAATTGCATGATTTGTTGTGATCTTAAAAGTCTCTAAGCATTCACTTTTTTGTATTCACACTGTATCTTTTTAAAATTTCTTTTAAAGCCTTTGTAAAAATTGTGTAGAAAAGTACTGTGCCATCTTATTAATAACCTTAAGACCTCATTCCCAAAGTTTGGATCATGGATCATACTTCTTTTTTGATCCCATTCAAGTTCTAGATAGAATAAATTATCATGAGGAAACATATACTCTGGGGAGAGAGATTGATTTGGTGGTAATCAAATGAACGTTTGTTTCAAAGTCACATATCTACCTTTAACAACTCCAATAAAATTCCCGAGTAGGAGCTAAATCATCAGTGCTGTTAATTATGTATGAGGTTATTCAGGTAAACAAGTTATATATAGGAAAATAAGCATACCTAGAATAATTATGTTTGACAGGAAAATTATTTTCCCATTCCAAAAGTTAACTAAAAAGTAGCAAAGTATGCACAAAATTTAATTAATTAACCATGCCTCTTTGAACTGATTCTCTTTAGCTTTAATCTTTTTTCTTTTAATAATGCATGCTCCTTTCACACCTGTGCTGAACAGTAGTCTCCAGGAGAAGCTAGTACAAATAACCAAGTTCTAGAAGGGGGCCAAAGATGACAATATTGTATGTGACTACAAATCCCTGTGAAGATTTTAAGCTGATCAGACCTTGCTGGGAGTAGGGGGGGAGGGTCAACAATTTTTCTTTTTCCTTGCCAACAATGGGGCTCTGTTTCCACCTTTCTTCTTTTACCCGAACCTGCCTCTTTGGCTACAGGGAGGACACCCCATGAAATGCCTTCATACCCTGATTGGATCAGAGGAACAAGAAAATATCCTGATCTCTGTACCCTATTGTGCAGGCAGATATCACTTTCAGACTCTCAAGATGGCAGCCATTGACCTATCCCTCATATGGGCTCTGCCAACACAGGATTCTGCCTGTTTATACGTGAGAAATACTGAGGAAGAAAGGATGGTGGCTGGTTTTCCAGCAACCTGGTTGCAGGTACCAGTGACCTTTAAAGATGTGGCTGTGGAGTTCACCCAGGAGGGATGGATGATGCTTGATTCTGGTCAGAGACGAATTTACAGAGGTGTGATGCTAGAAAACTATATGAATCTTACCTCAATGGAATATCAATTATGGAAGCCTACTATGATCTCCCCGTTGGGTCAAGAAGAGATAAGAACTATGAAAAGGAGACTTCTCTAAGGCACCTATCCAGACTGGGAGATTCAACTTAAAACCAAAGAATATTTTTAGGGAAAAATCATCCAGTGGAGTGAAAATGATAAAATTCATAATGGACAGTTGGTCCTCCACATTAAGTGAAGACCAGGAATGCCATAGATCAGAAAACAGCACAAGATCCCAGAGGGAAATTTGAGGAAAGTGACCCAAAAGAAAACAGCACCTCAGGAGAGATTCTATGACCATCATGAATTAGAGGAAAACTCTAAACTTGGATCAAAACTTGTTTTTTGAAAGAGAGTCTCCACTGGTAAACATTGCCATAAATGTTACTTAGATATTGAGAGTTTGAAACATAATTCAATCGTAAACAATTTCAAGAGAAACTGTGTAAGAGGGAAGCTCTGTGAAAGTCATAAATATGATAGAGCTCTGTGGCATCTTGAAAAAACTCAGCACAAAAATGTGCATGCTTCAAACATGGTATACACTTCAAGCATAATAATATGTTTCCTATATATAACAATTTTCATATGGTGGAGAATTCCTATGAATGTAATAAAAGCAAGACTTTTTGTCATCATCCATCCAATAGGCAACAGGAGCAAACTCCTAATGGAGAGAAATGTCATAAATGTAATCAATGTGGGAAAGCCTTCAGAAGACTTTGTAATCTTATTTTGCACAAGAAAAGTCACATGGGCAAAAAACAATATGAATGTAAAGAATGTGGGAAAGTCTTCCAACGATTCCTCAACCCGAAGGAGACATGTAAGAACTCACACTAGTGAGAAACCCTACAAATGTAATCAATGTGGAAAAGCTTTCAGTCAAAAAACATCTCTTAAGATTCATGTGAGAACTCACACTGGAGAGAAACCTTATGAGTGTAGTCATTGTGGAAAACCCTTTGGCACAAGTTCTTACCTAATAGTAAGAGAATACATACTGGGGAGAAACTCTATGACCGCAATGACTGTAGAAAAGCCTTTATTATAAGCTCGCACCTTAAAGTTCACAAGAAAATACACACTCGAAAGAATCTCTACAAATGCAATGACTGTGGGAAAGTTTTTAGTGGTCTCTCATCCCTTAGAATACATGTGAGAACTCATACTGGAGAGAAACCCATCAATGTAAGGAATGTAGGAAAACCTTCATTGTTTTCTCTTCCCTTAGGAGACGTGGGAGAACTCACCCGGGAGAAAAACCCTATGAATGTATTCAATGTGGAAAAAGCCTTGAGTCGGAGTTCTTCACTTATTATACACAAAATTTATACTGGGAGAGAAACTATAAATGTTATGAATGTGGAATTGATTTATTCATTGTCTTAAGGTGGACTCCAACTCATTATTTCAGGCTTTATCGCCCAAAATAAGCATTTAAGACTATAGTCCTCTAGGGGCGCCGGGGTGGCTCAGTAGGTTAAGCGTCTTCCTTCAGCTCGGGTCATGATCCCAGGGTCCTGGGATCGAGTCCCACATCGGGCTCCCTGCTCAGCAGGGAGTCTGCATCTCCCTCTCCCTCTGCCTGCCGCTCCCCCTACTTATGCTCTGTCTCTGTCAAATAAATAAAAATAAGTAAAAAATCTTAAAAAAAAAAGACTATAGTCCTCTAAATACCTCTTCAACTATGTAACACATTTTGGTCTGTGTTTATTTTAATTCTAAATGTCGTATAAAATTTATTATGATTTAACGAGTCTATAGCTCTTTAGAATTGTTTTCAAAATAGTTAAAAGTTTGCAGTTATTTTCTTATTTTCTTTTTTAAAAAAGACATTCATTTTAGAGAGAGAGAGCAGGGGGTAGGGGGAAAGGGAGAGAAAGAATCCCAAGCAGACTCCCTGCTGAGTGTGGAGCCCAGTGCACGTCTTGACCCCACAACCCCAAGATCACAGCCCAAACCAAAATCAAGAGTCAGATGCCCAACTGGCTGAGCCACCCAGACACCCTTATTATTGTTGATTTCTAAATTAACCGCATTTCTAGGAATGCAACCATTTCTTCCAGTTTATCTAATTTGCTAGCATATGGTTGCTCATAATATGTTCTTATAATTGTTTGTACTTCTTTGGTGTTGGTTGTGATCTCTTTCATTCATGATTTTATTTATTTGGGTCATTTCTGTTTTCTTTTTGATAAGTCGGCCAGGGGTTTATCAATCTTGTTAATTCGTTCAAAGAACCAACTCCTAGTTTCGTTGATCTGTTCTACTGTTCTTTTGGTTTCTATTTCATTGATTTCTGCTCTGATCTTTATTATTTCTCTTCTCATGCTGGGTTTAGGCTTTATTTGCTGTTCTTTCTCCAGCTCCTTTAGGTGTAGGGTTAGGTTGTGACCTTTCTTGTTTCTTGAGAAAGGCTTGTATTGCTATATACTTTCCTCTAGGACTGCCTTTGCTGCATTCCAAAGATTTTGAACAGTTGTGTTTTCATTTTCATTTGTTTCCATGAATTTTTTAAATTCTTCAATTTTCTGGTTGACCCATTCATTCTTTAGTAGGATGCTCTTTAGCCTCCATGTATTTGAGTTC